GATGGTAATTTATGTCATGAAAATTTTATTGCGAAATGTCTAATCCTAAAGGAACCATGAACCTTAGCCTAAAGACATTATAGGAATATCATTTGACCCCTAAGCAACATAGATTTTTTTTTTTTGAGATAAAAGAGAAAATATTATTATGCGCAAAGATATCAAGGAGGTACCATCCGAAAGCACAAAATTACAAGTCGATCAGGTGGTCCATTACAGTCCCAATATCTTCCCAATCTAATATGTCATGACCAATTAAAATAGAACCAAAAGTATGAAATTATCTATCTCTCATATTTAAAATGTCTATTTTAATACCCTCAAAAGGGCTAATATTTCTCTCCCTCCAAACTACCCACATAATAGAAATCGGAATAAGGAATAATTCTTTTTTCTTTTTACATGAACCAACTAACACCCACAACTCCTCACTAGCACTACCCGCCATAACCCAATTCATCTCCATAATCCCATACACATACTCCCAAATTTTGTACACCATACGACATTGAAGTAACAAGTAGTTGTAAGATTCTTCATCGGCCTTGCACATGTAACAACTATTAACCATCATCATACCTCTTTTTCTCAACATATCAATGGTTAAGATTTTTTCTTTAACAGCTTTCCAAATGAAAAAAGTCATTCTAGGTGGAGCTTTTGACCTCCATATTTGCTTAAACGGTGCTGCCTTGACATTCTTCTCACCATTTTTGACAATAAAATTGTAGTAGGACTTAACAAAAAAGCCTCTTTTCTTGTCCACTTTCCAAATTCTTTTGTCCTTCAGATTTCCCACCTTAAAATCAGCAAGACAACGAAGCAGATTACAGTATTCTACCTCTTCTTCATCATTCAAATTTCTCCTAACCTGAATAACCCTACCCCCCCTTCTCAAACACCTTCTCCACAAGAATATCCCTCTTACTAGCGATCTCAAAGATCCTTGGGAACTTATCTTTCAATTTGAAGTCACCAGCCCACTCATCCTTTCAGAACTTAACTTCAGTTCCATTACCCAACTGCCAGCATATGCAGTCATAAAATTCTCTGTCAATCCTAATATTCTTCCACAAACTAGAACCGTGACGTTTATATTTCCTTCTTCTTCCCCCATCCCTTTCCCAATCACCGCATCTAGTCTCCACCATCTTTCTCCACAATTTCCCATTCTCATTCACAAACCTCCAGAGCCATTTGCCATGTAAAGCAGAATTCAATTTCGAAATAGATCTCAACCCCAAAACTCCCTTATATAACAGTTTCTTCACCTCCTCCCACTTAACTAAGTGAAATTTTCTATGCCCCTACTCATTAACCCAAAGAAACCTCCAGAGCCATTTGCCATGTAAAGCAGAATTCAATTTCGAAATAGATCTCAACCCCAAAACTCCCTTATATAACAATTTCTTCACCTCCTCCCACTTAACTAAGTGAAATTTTCTATGCCCCTACTCATTAACCCAAAGAAACCTCCAGAGCCATTTGCCATGTAAAGCAGAATTCAATTTCGAAATAGATCTCAACCCCAAAACTCCCTTATATAACAATTTCTTCACCTCCTCCCACTTAACTAAGTGAAATTTTCTATGCCCCTACTCATTAACCCAAAGAAATCTGCATTGTATCATCTCTAGTTTAGTGGCGATGCTGGCCGGAATAGTTAAGATAGAAAGGTAGTAAATTGATAAATTTGTTAAAGTGCTTTTGATCAATATGAGTCTCCCCCCCAGAAAGAAAGTTCCGTTTCTACCCTGCAACACAGGTGGATGGAAATTAGCCCCTTTTGGAAATATCTTTGTTACATAAGATAAAGTAGGTGTGATACCAATGGTGTACAAAATAATAAAATGTATTTGAAGTTGTTTTACCATGTGAAATGAATACTCGCAAAGTAATTTGTAACAGAATGGAAAATGACAAATTGGGAATAGGATTGCAATTGAGACTCTTAGGAAGCATCCTTGCCTTCAATTATTTTACAGAGGATCTTATGGAAAAACTGGTTTTTAGATGACTTGCCCTAAGTATAGAGTATTAGGAAGAGGGATTCACTTAATGTACCTCATGTGGCTTGGAAGAGAAGTTAGGGTAGTATGATTGATCTAAATGCTTTATTAGTGAAAATTGAAATAACTTCTGTGTAGTGAAACCTTTAAATTTTGATAACTGGTCCTTACAAGTAATATTGTTGACCTCCAGCTTTCAAAATCAAAGCTTCATCTTTATGAGGCTGAAATAAGAGGTAGGTGTTGAATCACTATTTTTGGCTATATGTTGACATTAGGGTGGGATTAAAAATAAAAGGAAAAGCTTGCGAGTCTTTCTAGAAAGGTGGCAACACATTTATATTAAGTGTTCATTTGCAAGTCTAAGTAATGCAAAACAAGTAACAGTTATGCTAGCTTATACAGTGGATAGTTTAAAAATAAAAAATATTTAGGTGAGAAACAGATGAGTTAAGGTAGGTAGGAGGAAATTAGAGGTCAAAGTGAAGAAATATTTTTTTTTGAAATAATCTTTTTTTGAAGTAAGGTCAATGTGAAGAAATATATGGAGAAATAGAGTGGAAAAGATAAGTTAGACAGAACAATCACAAGAATGACCACAAAGAGAGCTAACATGGAAAAAAATTCTAAGAAAAAATTATTAATTTATCATTGTTTACTCTTTTTGTTGGTAGGTAACCTCTATATATGGAATGAACAAATAAGGAAAATTATAAAAGAGGAAATCTAAATAATTCTAATTCCTATAATATTTAGATTTTTTAAAAAGAAAATTGAAGTATTATAATGACTAAATAAAGTAAATAACCAAAATGACTTAGAAGTACAAGATAATCATAATTACCAAAATTTTTCTAATAGATTTTTTTTGCAAATAAAGGTCTTTTTGTTTTGACATCATTCTGTGGTGAAAACTCAACCTTGAGTTTGAAGAGGCCGAAGCATCAAGATAGCAAAGGCTCGAGCATGATCTCTAAAATCACCTAAAAGTAGGAGTTTTTGATGAACTTTATAGAAAATGTTGAAAGTTAACCAAAATTATAAGTTCTTTATAATCATAAAACCAATGAAACGAAGTAAAATCACCCCAAGAAATATGTTTAAGTATCATAAACGGGAACCCCTTCAATAGTAGTATTAGGTTGAACAAGATTATTGAAAGGAATAAGTTGCTTAACATCGTTAATGTGAAAAGCAGAGATCTATGATGGCAGTTCCCATTGCTTAAATACGGGCCACCATGAAAGAAATTGCTACCGTCAGTACTAGCATGAACTGGCAAGATGCAATTAATAACTTTATTTTTATAAGGACAAACTTTTTGTTTCTTTTGTTGGGATTTTTTTTTCTCCTTTTATGTAGTATAAAGGTGTGAACGTTAGAAGTTAGGTTCTCATACTAGTTGACACAGGAGTTGGCAGTTAAACCAACTTATCCTGTATATAATTTAGGATATAGGATATTTTCGGTGGGAAACCAAAGAATAATTATAGGCCAGAAGAAATCAAATATTAAAGTGAATAATATAGAGAGAATTAGATCGGGCAAGATAGATTAGACAAAAACAATAATAAAAAAGCGAATACTGAGAGAGATAGTCAAGAATAAAACCTTAATACACATAATTTATTTTCATTATTGGTGCAGCTAGTCTTTATTTTCATTATTGGCATCAGTTACAACTAATAAGGAAAGCATAAAAAAGAAAACGAAAATATTGTAATCCCTATAATATTTAGAATCTACTAAAAAAAAACTAAAAATATTAGAATGCTTAAGTAACTTAAAAATAAATAATTTTTTTTAAAAAATAAAAGTGAATTATTATCATGCACAAGATACCAAAGGAGTACTACCTTTATACAAAACAGTTACAAATTAATCAAATGGTCAATAACTACACCCAAAATTTTCCATTCTTTAATATCGTGACCAAATAAGGTAGAGTCAAAAGTGTGAATTCATCTATCTGTAATGTTAACAAAATTAATCTCTGTTCTCTCAAAAAATCTAACATGTCTTTCCTTCCAAATCACAAAAAAATGGTAAGTGGAACGAGAAATAAATGCCCCCCCCCCCTTTTTTACGCAAACCCTCCAAAGCCCAAAGTTCTTTACTTACACTATTCGCCATAACCCAATCCGCCCCCATAAGCTTTAAAACAGAAGACCAAATGCCATAGGTTACAG